TTTTTCCAGCTTCTGGGCGAGTTGGGTGGTTCTGGCAGCTGCCCCCTCTTGTTTTTGAGGAGTGCAGGGCATCTCCAATACCCCTAGAATTATGTTTCTCCTTGGGAAATCCCACAAAATGGTATTCAACCTGGCTCTTTCCTAGTGGTTTTCCCAACCTTTTTCTCGGGTATTCCTTTTATTTCCCTCCAAAGAACCCTCGATGGGAATGAGTGGGAAAAGGCAAGCATTCGGTTTTTCTAGATGTTTGACGTTTTTTCCAGTTTCTGGGCGAGTTGGGTGGTTCTGGCAGCTGCCGCCTTTGGTTTTGGAGGAGTGCACTGCATCTCCTATATCCTTAGATATTTTTTTAAAGAAAGTTTTTGGTTGCGGGTTGCAAGTTTTGATGCGTTCTTGATGCAACTTAAAGTGAGGGAGATTCTGCCAAGACTAACAGAGAGCAGACATGATCGATCCAAAAAGCAATTTGAAGCAACATAAAAACAAATAAAACACTTTTGCACAACCAACATTGTGCAGGAATTCTTGATGATGTACTTCGTGATTTTCTTCAATTCAGCTTCGGTGAGGCTACACAATGCTACGTATCCCCTTTTGTTGTTTTATTTTTGAGAGATGTAGCCTTCTGTTAGATATTATTCTAGAATCCCATATATTTCATTGAGTTCTGCTTTTTTTTGAGATTTCAACTCAAGGTATGCCAGAACAATTCTTTATTATTCATTTCTGAGGTTATTGACGGGGCATACTCTTTAGGCACCCCTCATATTTTGATTTTTTTTAGAAGGTTGAGTTGCAGTGAAAGGTGAGAAGGGGGAATGGAGGGGATTTGTCGGGCATTTTGGATGGAAACTTGGCATGTGGCAACCCTTTGTCAAAATATGTCAAAGGGGATCCCCAAAAAAAAACATATTCGGGAAATACGTTTTGAGGGGGGAGGTAGGAAGGGAAATTATTTCCAAGTAGTCCCACCTGACGTTGTGAAACCCAACTTACGTCAACCCACTTTGACATGATAATGTTTTTTGGGGGGGCATTGAGGTATAAGAGTGATATGTATACAACCCAAAGCGCCAATGCATGTTTGTTTCATCAACGGTCAAACATACACCCCGCATCTTTTGCCCGTACGCCCCACACATCTTTTACCCGTACTCCCCACATCTTTTGCCCTTTCGCACGTTCGCCCGTGCGTTCGCCCGTGCGTTCGCCCGTACGTTCGCCCGTGCGTTCGCCCGTTCGCCCGTGCGTTCGCTCACGCGCCCCCTCGCACGCCCCCTTTTCACACGTCCGTACGCACGTCCAACCCCCCTCGTTCAATACGTCCAAAAATGTTTAAAAATCCTCATTAGCGACTTCTTGAATATAGCTAACTGAATGGCTTCTAAATAGCTGCTAGCTAGCTGCTAAATAGCTTTCACATAGTTGCTGAATAGCTTCTAAATAGCTGCTAGCTAGCTGCTAAATAGCTTCCAAATACTTGCTGAATAGCTTCTAAATAGCTGCTAGCTAGTTGCTAAATAGCTTCCAAATAGTTGCTGAATAGCTTCTAAATAGCTGCTAGCTAGCTCCTAAATAGCTTCTAAATAGTTGCTGTATAACTACTAAATAGCTGCTAAATAGCTTCCAAATACTTGCTGAATAGCTTCTAAATAGCTGCTAGCTAGCTGCTAAATAGCTTTCACATAGTTGCTGAATAGCTTCTAAATAGCTTAGCTAGCTGCTAAATAGTTTTCACATAGTTGCTGAATAACTTCTAAGTAGCTGCTAGCTAGCTGCTAGCTAGCTGCTAAATAGCTTCCAAATAGTTGCTGAATAGCTCCTAAATAGCTGCTATCTAGCTGCTAAATAGCTTCCAAATACTTGCTGAATAGCTTCTAAATAGCTGCTAGCTAGCTGCTAAAAAGTATCCAAATAGTTGCTGAATAGCTTCTAAATAGCTGCTAGCTAGCTGCTAAATAGCTTTCACATCGTTGCTGAATAGCTTCTAAATGGCTGCTAGCTAGCTGCTAAATAGCTTTCACATAGTTGCTGAATAGCTTCTAAATAGCTGCTAGCTAGCTGCTAAATAGCTTCCAAATAGTTGCCGAATAGCGTCTAAATAGCTGCTAGCTAGCTGCTAAATAGCTTCCAAATAGTTGCTGAATAGCTTCTAAATAGCTGCTAGCTAGCTGCTAAATAGCTTCCAAATAGTTGCTGAATAGCTTCTAAATAGCTGCTAGCTAGCTGCTAAATAGCTTCCAAATAGTTGCTGAATAGCTTCTAAGTAGCTGCTAGCTAGCTGCTAAACAGCTTCCAAATAGTTGCTGAATAGCTCCTAAATAGCTGCTAGCTAGCTGCTAAATAGCTTCCAAATAGTTGTTGAATAGCTTCTAAATAACTGCTAGCTAGCTGCTAAATAGCTTCCAAATAGTTGCTGAATAGCTTCTAAGTAGCTGCTAGCTAGCTGCTAAATAGCTTCCAAATAGTTGCTGAATAGCTTCTAAATAGCTGCTAGCTAGCTGCTAAATAGCTTCCAAATAGTTGCTGAATAGTTTCTAAATAGCTGCTAGCTACCTGCTAGCTAGCTGCTAAACAGCTTCCAAATAGTTGCTGAATAACTACTAAATAGGTGCTAAATAGCTTCCAAATAGTTGCTGAATAGCTTCTAAATAGCTGCTAGCTAGCTGCTAAATAGCTTCTAAATAGTTGCTGGATAACTACTAAATAGGTGCTAAATAGCTTCCAAATAGATGCTGAATAGCTTCTAAATAGCTGCTAGCTAGCTGCTAAACAGCTTCCAAATAGTTGCCGAATAGCGTCTAAATAGCTGCTAGCTAGCTGCTAAATAGGTTCCAAATAGTTGCTGAATAGCATCTAAATAGCTGCTAGCTAGCTGCTAAATAGCTTTCACATAGTTGCTGAATAGCTTCTAAATAGCTGCTAGCTAGCTGCTAAATAGCTTCCAAATAGTTGCTGAATAACTACTAAATAGGTGCTAAATAGCTTCCAAATACTTGCTGAATAGCTTCTAAATAGCTGCTAGCTAGCTGCTAAATAGCTTTCACATAGTTGCTGAATAGCTGCTAGCTAGTTGCTAGCTAGCTGCTAAACAGCTTCCAAATAGTTGCTGAATAGCTTCTAAATAGCTGCTAGCTAGCTGCTAAATAGCTTCCAAATAGTTGCTGAATAGCTTCTAAATAGCTGCTAGCTAGCTGCTAAATAGCTTCCAAATAGTTGCTGAATAACTACTAAATAGGTGCTAAATCGTGTCCAAATAGTTGCTGAATAGCTTCTAAATAGCTGCTAGCTAGCTGCTAAACAGCTTCCAAATAGTTGCTGAATAACTACTAAATAGCTGCTAAATAGCTTCCAAATACTTGCTGAATAGCTTCTAAATAGCTGCTAGCTAGCTGCTAAATAGCTTCCAAATAGTTGCTGAATAGCTTCTAAATAGCTGCTAGCTAGCTGCTAAATAGCTTCCAAATAGTTGCTGAATAGATTCTAAATAGCTGCTAGCTAGCTGCTAAATAGCTTCCAAATAGTTGCTGAATAGCTTCTAAATAGCTGCTAGCTAGCTGCTAAAATAGCTTCCAAATAGTTGCTGAATAGCTTCTAAATAGCTGCTAGCTAGCTTCTATATACATACATATATACATATGTACATGCATGTTTATCATGTTTACATGTACAAAGCATCCCCATTGCACATAGGAACGCATGCAAATAATATTCTATGTGCATCGATTTTGTGAAACAGTCCTAAATTTCTATTAAAACCATGCTTTTATGTTTAAATTATGTTATACATGTGCAAAAATCGAATATTCTAAGTGCACTGGTTTTACCCCGGGGACATATGGTTTTAAGGCTATTCTAACTGCATAGTCAATAAAATCGAATATTCTATGTGCTAGTCCACTAGTATAATCTAAATAGCAACTGGGTAAAATCAATAACTTAACTTGGCATCCAACAGATACATATATATATAGTATTATATATATAGTATTATATATTTATATATATAGTATTATATATATAATACTATATATATATATATGTACGGGATCCAACAGAACATACCTTTTCAGAAATCCTCAGCTTCTTATGGGTTTTGGTCAGCCGTGAGAAGGACCCGACGATGTGGAGGAGCCTGGAGATGAGGATGACGAAGACATGGATGGGAGCAAGAGCACGACCTCTGAAACCATCCTACGTGACTTCAACTACAAGCTTCGCTGCATGTTCTTTTAGCGAAACCGAAATCTTCGAGTGACTGGGGCCCAATGCTCACCTCTTCGAGCCGTCTTCTATCTACGGGAGTCGCTTGGGGTTTCAGGAAGTGGCGCTGGTGACTGCCAATGACCCAAAGAATATCGCCAAGTCTTCGCTCTGGAAGCAGGGATTGGCAGTTGGAGTATCCATGCTGCCCAGACAGGCTATGGTGAAACCATGCAAGTCTGAAGGGAAATGGGGTTCGGACTTCAGATTCACCAAGGTGCAGGAAATGAAGCAGGACTGGGGGAGCCTAAAAATAAAACTGTCTGTCTGCAATGTTTGAAAATGTTTCAATTATTATGTCTTTGCCAAGGGTTCCGTTCAAGTGGTTCTTAATATCACTAGTCCTTGCTCGCAGTACTGTGGTGGCACGTTCTTCATCACCAAGCTTTTGAATTCTGTGATCCCCATTTCAGAAACACCGAGAGTTCTTCTGGACTTGTTTGGCTTCGATTCGATGGATGGCCAGGGAGCGTTGCTGTGTCACAAGCAGCCAGGGGAATCTTAGTTATATTATGTTATATTCATTGTCTATTTTCATTGCCTATTTTTATTTGCCTGTTTCTTTGTCCCAAGTAGGAGTCACAAACATCGGAAGGGCACAAGTAATATTGCAGGAAGATCTAAGATTCAAATTAAATGTCAAGAACGCAGGAAAGAAGATTGCTTGCGCTACAATTTGCCACAGCAAAGGCGAAGCGAACTATGTATCTTCCACCTTGGCCACCAAACTCTTCTCCATGGCGCGCGCTGGTGAATTTCAGATATCTGCTTTTCCTGATTTTGACTCTGCACTCAATGAGCTGAAACAATTTCAGCGGTCACCCCAGCCAGACTACCAAGTTTGTGTGGCTACTGCTGATGGGGCTTTGGTGGTGAAGCAAACTTTGGTGGACTTTTGGACGGTGAAGCACATGTCCTTTGCTGACCAGATGCAGAAGCTCCTGCAGGTCCACGACAATGAGTTCAACACCAGAAAGTTGAAGCGTGGGGCAGAGGAGACAGAGGATGCGCCAGAGGAAGAGCGGCCTACTAAGCGCCTTTGCCCGGGAACAAGCTCAAGCATGGAAGAGTTGGAGACCAACCACCCTGACAGGACATTGACATCTAACAGCAAAGACTTTTCAATGTTGTTTGAACATTTCAGTTTTTATCAGTGGTCTCCTTCAATTAGAATCAGGGCATCCTTGAACGCTGGATCCTTCGTCCTCTACCTGAGCGACAAAATGCTTCCTTGTGGATTGGCTGCTCTGCGGCCGTTACTGTGGAGGCCAACACTGAGCTCTGGGGGTTTGGGTCTGGAGATTTCGCCAAAGGAAGTGAAGGTGCCGACATGATGTCCGACACCTCGGCTGAAGGTCGATGGTTGCTCTATGGGTTGCAATCTAGCGATGAGCTCCTGATTCTGGAGAAACAGCGGAAAACACCAGAACATCTCGAAAGCGCGGGCTTCTTCAACAAGGCCGACTTATGTTATATTGTCTTATAACGTCTCATATCTTGTCAAAAGATTTTACAGCAGGAATCAACTTGAAACAAGTGAATCCATGAGCAGGGGATTTTGCATACTTGTTGTTAAACTAAAATCATCCTTTTGCTGTGTCTCATTGCCTGTCAGGTCATCAGCTTGAATGACCTCCTCAAGAGCTTGGAGGACAGTGGTGAAGTGAATCTCCAGATTGCGGAGCACAAGTTGGAGAAAGATGGGGCAGGGAACTTCAAAGTCAAACCTCTTGGCGGTGTTTGCTTCATCCTCGATCCGTTGAAGCCCAACCCAAGAAGAAAAAGGCTAAGGTGGGTTCCTGAAATCCTAGGATTCTCCCAATTTTTATTTCACACTTCTTGGTGATCTGGCCATTGGTGTTTCTGAATCCTTTCTTCGCTTCTTCTCTTCTGGTCCTGCTCTTACAGGTTGGTTTTGGAAATCCTTAATTATTGTTAGACTATGGCAATAATTATTAAAGGGCATAATCGATCGGCTTGATCATAATAACAACTAAGAATGATTCCCAAAACCAACTTATAATATGTTATTATAATTCTTCAGACAAAATACCAGAACCAACTGAAATTGATCTTCAGACTTCTGCTTGCTGCCCTTCAGGCTGCAAGCGCCTTGACTTTCGGTGCCAAAATGGACCTTTCCAAGATTCGCGTTTCGACCAAAATTAAGATCTTGTGGCGCTTAAGGCCTTGCTTTTGATGTGCATTGTCTTGACTCAGGAACACAAGATCATCTTTGTTAGTTGTCACCTACAGCCTCGGATCCCACCATAACGCACCTAACCAAATAAATTGCTATTTAGCAAAAAATTGCCTATAATCTTACAACCCCAGTCAGTTGCTGATGGAATCCCAGAAAAGATTGAATCCCCCACTGTATCATACCCACTGGATGCAGCCCTGTCGTCCTGCATGCAGGCTCCACATCGATGCAAACGCCTCGGATCCATGCACCCAGCTGGTTCCGGTCAGGCCGTGCGCTGTGACTGCTGGGAGTGTTTCTCTGAAACCTGAGGAGCTCCTGAAACTTTTGTAAGATGATGCCAGAACCATAGGGGAATCGGTTTGTGCACAGGGCAAGATGTCCTAACCTCTCAAAGGGGTGAAAGGTCATACCATGACATGGCCATGTCAGTGGAAGATCTACTAAGTCTATTGTGAGCATAGTTTCATATTAGTGCCAAGGAACTACAAACCAGGCCAAATTATTATCAAATATTGTCATCATACTAAGACTAACTTATTATTATCAGATCATCATACTAAGTTCTGTTATGTTTAGGTTTGATCATGGTGCCGACCTTTGGTAATCTGGTTGCAATTGCAACAAGAGCTGAGAGGACTAGGCTACAAGAACCTTGTTGCCAAACAACTGTGAAAGCAGGATCAGTGGTGCGCCTGCCACTGTTGACGAGAGTTGAAAAGTGTTGGATTATGTTGAACCAGTTTGACCACAAGTGTACTTCGAAACGACTAGCCTGAGGTCCAATCATCCAGATTCGAGGTTTTCCCATACAACGCAGTGATATACATTAGGGTCTGCGACCAAACCAGTAACTCAATGACTGTGATGTGACCAAATCAGTATGATATAATGTATCTACGTGATCTCAAGGTGACCCGGTCTTGGCGCTCGCACATAGCTGCACTGCAATGGCTCCGCCTGACACAGGGGAGGCAGGAAATATCTTGTCCTCCCCTAGCTTTTCCATGGCTGACTACTCTATGCTCTTGGAGGCAGCAGCACCAGCACCGAAAGCAGCGCCCAAAGCAGCAGCAAGTAGAGCACCTTTTCCTGCTTCGACTGCCAGCTCAGGACTTATGAGCTTATGTTGCAGAGAAACACAAGGGTCCTCCTTTTTGAATTTCTGATCCATCCTTGAAACCACAACCTTGCATCTTGACTTGATAGTAATAGGTGGACATGGAACATGGCCCTTCTTAGTTTTATCGGGTTCCTTTACCACCTTGAAGCCTCAAACTTCCTTCTTGACTTGATAGATCTCAAACAGTAACCTTCTGCCATTCAGCATGCCATCGCATTGGCAGGATTGCTACAACGTTGCGAAGTTGAAGGTTCCGAAAGTGTTTCAGCAGAGCCCTCAGAAGAGGTAGAGATTACCAAACGCCCAGCTACCAAGACGAAAGGTAGCTTGAAGAAGAAAGAAGAAGACGCAGACATTACTGCTCTTGGGGTCTGCAAAGGGAATGATGAAGATGAAGGAGACAATGATGAAGGTAGTCTTGGGGCAGACAGTGATGAGGATGGCCCCAAGAAACGTCCTAGCAGTAGGAAAACCAAACATACCAGTGACAAGAAAGACAAGAAGGAAAAGAAAGAAAAGAAGCACAAGAAATCCAAGACTGGAAAGAAACGGAATGGCAATGAATCAAGTCTGAGTTCTGAAACTGATGAGCTAGAAGACCACAAGAGCCACCGAATCAGAGTCAGCCGGGAGTGTTTGGACAGAGCTTTCCAGAATGCTGCCCTCGCTGAACAAAGAGCTTCTATGAAAGAGGCAGGGGTGCCATACACAGACATGGAGATTGAAAAAAATCCTACAACACACAGCTTATTTCGAAACTCACAACTTACTTTTAGATTCCCAGCAGCATGGAGGACGAGGACTGCAAAGCCAAGAACACAAAGAAGAGGGAGCTGAAGATGGACACAAACAATGTGTATAGCCGCAAGTACCATGAATGTAAAAGAGCAGGATGCAGTAAAGAGCAGGCTAGGCCTGTGACATTGATACAGTGACAGTCAGATTGAATTGGTATTTCCCACATGGCGATTTCTTTTCAGATATTATTTTGCTTTGCACCCATTATATGTTTCTTTGCATCAGGCAGCTTCGCTGGCTCGTGAAGCTGTGCAGAAGATGGTGCAATCGGATGGCCCTGCTGCGCCCACTGAGTCTGTGTAAGACCTCTGAGTTTCCAGCGGACAACGGAGTACGCCAGGGGAATGGCGTTTGAGATGTTAAAAAAAAAGCTTGCGGATGCTCCCAGGAAGGTCCACTCAGATCTAACTTGACATGTGGGACATGAATTTCAGTTTTGAACATGTTTGAACCAGTAGATTTGTTTGAAATATATTATGTCATTTAGTAATTATTGAAAAAAAATCTCCTGGCTCAAATATGTTCAAACCCAATAATTCAACAATCTGAAATATTCTTTGTTTAAGCCCAATCTACTGGCCCCCTCAACATCATCTTGATAGCTGGCAAAGAACCCACAGAGGCAGATTTACCACCTCAACTCTGAGTTCTGGTCTTTCCTAGGAGGGGTTCTGGTTCACATGACATTTGCTTTAAACAAAACAGAAAAATAGAACTGGAGATGTCTCAAAACGTCTGAAAATTGGTTCCCGAAACCAAAGCCTAACATGTTCAAAAACTGGTTCCACATGGGTACCTTGTAAAATGAAAGGTGCTTGAAGCCATCTTAAGGTACCTTTCATTTTTTGGAAAAATAAAACATTAAATAAATAGAAATGGAGATGTCTCAAAATGTCTAGAGCAATTATTTTATTGCAATTTCAGTATTGTACATATCTTATTTGTTTTGTTATTTATGTGCTGCTCTTGTCCTAGGATTTTTTTGATGAATCTCTAAGACGTAATGTGCTCAAATATTAATGTGGATATATATATATATATGTATATATATATGTATATATATATATAATTATATATATAATTATATATATATATATAGGTTTGTCTCCTTGGGACTGGGTGTCTTCCAAATAGCAGCTGGGTGCCCAAACATAGTATGCACACCCCAATGGAACAGCAGCAGCAGCAGCATATTTTTTGAGACAGCTATGAATTGTCAGATGCCGCATGCAACAGCCACACACCTGGCCAATCAGAGCAGGTAACATGAGTCAAGTGATGTCCAATATCAAAATCAAATTTGACGAAAGAACATCAAAATACAACCAAGAGCACACAAGCAGGGATTTGTTTTTTTTCTCTTTGTGGGCCTGCTAGCCACCATCCCCTAGCGTGATCCCTGAGATTCACGCAAAGCCAGAGCCACTTTGACCCCTTCTTTACACAACTGCTCAAGAACTTCAGCACGACGGGCATCGCCAGCATCTCGCTTGTCGCGCTTCTCACTTCTTGCCTTTTTCCATCCACAGCTGTATGCCTCAATGAGCAAAAGATAAAGAAATCAAGAAGTTTAGGGAAACCTCAATAAATTGAGGCGATCGCCGACAACAGTTTTTTTTTTCAAATCTTCTTCAGTCATTTCGGTCTGTGATGCTTCCTGGGCAGTCGATGAAGCTTGGATAACTGAAACTGATGAAATGACACTTAAACTGAAAATCAACACCAGTCCTTGGTTGCAACCTGGTCCTTTGTTTTTTTCTTTTTTGGGGAAGCCTTTGCTTTAGCAGCAAGCTTTGGGGGCTTGGGCGATGCATTCTCCTGAAATGCTTCAAGATGAAACAAGAGAAGAACAACTAGTCGAAGTCAACAGTACTGGGTGTCATCACTGTCTTTGTGTCGTCCTGCGATTCATTTGCAGCCTTTGCTCCGCCATCTACTGGTTTCTTCCTTTTTGCCTTTGCTTTCACAGCAGTAGCAGGTCGCTTTGCTCCTGCAGAAATCCAACGCTAGTAAAAATCAAAACTGATGAGTGCACTTTGACACATTTTGACACCACCATTTCGAAGCCTGGACGAGTGGCTGGGCGCTTCTTGACATCATCATCAGGTTCACCGCCATCATGTTCATCATCATCATCTTTCTTTGCCCCAAGAGCCTCAGGCGAATGTTCATCTGATTTTCTGGGAACCAGCTCAAAAGAGATTGATGCTGCCGGAATCTGGAGCAAGTTGCCAATGATTTTCCTCTTCATAGTATCGACAAGCCATTTTTTGTTGGTGACTGATTTGTTGTAGTCAGCAATGCATGTGTTCAGCGCACTCTGATGCGAAATCTTCTTGTTGCTTTGCTGCATAGCTGAAACAGCTTGTCTGAAAATGCCAGCAAAGTCCAGTGCTGATGGTGTTTGCTTCTCTGAGGTTTCCTGGCCAAGGCCTCAGCAATCATTGCATGAATGCAGAAAACTTTGATTTGATAAGTTTAATGTTTTTAACCTGGGGTTCAGACGTAGCGCTTCATAGAAGAAAGATTGCTGATCTACCATGTGCACGTACCTCGCTTTGAAGAACCGCAGAGACACCAAAAGCGGCGCAAGGTCCTCACTGTCCAGTTCCTCATCTGGAATCTCCTGAGCTTCGTGAGGTTTGGTGGCATGTAGTAGTGGTTCAAATTGGGCTTGATTGAAATCCAATACTATCACCCAACTTAATCAGCTTAGAAGCCAACTTGTCAACTATGGCAGCAATGGCTTGGCAAATCAATCCTTTGCAGAAGCCATCCACGTATTTCACCGAAAAGTCAGGAATGCTCCTGTCACCCTTGCTGACAAATCGGAGGCAAAGTGGTTCACGGAACGGGTCAAAGTTTCGGTAGAGGATGTTCTTGAAGTGCGGGATCACTGTGGCCATGTGGGGAAAGTCTTAGTTGCCATGAAAACACTGGCTGAATGAATGTTGATAACTCAATATTGTGAGAAGCATGAACTGATTCGACAGTTATTTCAATCAAGCAACAGCCATGTTTTGCATCTTGACTGTAGTCCATTTGGTGAATTCCCACCATACATTCATTGATGGTGGCCACAGGTTCGATTCCAATCAAACATGGACAATCAGTGGCCTTTCGTGCCCACACCACCCTCTCCAGGGCAGCTTTCATCTTGGTGCAGTCGCCATACTCCTCATTCAGCCAGGTACCGAGGTTGTTCTCAGATGTCACCTGGGACAGCACAGAGATGACAGAGACATAACGTTGACAAAAAATACAAGATAAATCAAGATAATATGACGTGATATATTTACAATATACAATGCTCTGAGGTCATGGCTTTCTGAAAGCATTCCCAAATCAAGTCTCGGGTGCTTTTCTTGGGGTTGTCTTCAACTTTGGAAGCCATGTGTCGGTGACCCCCTCCGTTTGAGCCCAGGTAGTTGCTGCCCAGTTAGACATTGAAAACAACGAACAGAACTTACAGTAGCTGTGAATTCAATGATCACTTTCTCGCACATGAAAAAGCATGGAAGCAACACGAATTGGCAGCAGAAATCTTTTGCAAGCACCTGGAAAAGCGATGCAACGTAAGTCAATAAGTCATCATCGAAAGCGATGCAACGTAAGTCAATAAGTCACCATGGCATCTAATCTGGTGGTTGCTCTGAGCCATGGACGTTGACGATCATCGCAATGATGAAGATGATCCTCCGAGAGACCTGCGAGATAACTTGCTGCTGATGCAAGTGCTGTCAGAAGTTGTACATCGAGTGGGTGCAGCGCGTGACAACTTGGTGGAAACGCAGAAAGTTGCGAGGTTTTTGGATGAAATTCCATTTGATCGGAGTGGTTTGGAAAAAGCTGCACGTGCACTGCATCTACTTAATGAAGCTTTTGAGTCACTCAACGCCGAAAGACTCAGTGCCAGAGATACTCTTACAGATGCTCTTGGATTTCTGGATGCCATTGCAGAAGAAGGAGTCACCAGGCCTGATCGCGGTTCACAACCTGCAGCAAGCAATGACTGATCTCTACAGGGACCTCAGGCTTCAACTTCGGATTTTTTGTTCGGCCTCAAAGTGGCAACCTTCTGGATGTCCATCGACTGCGGTCAGAAGTTAAAAAAAAGATGCATCTGTGCCAGTTTGTTTGCAGCAAAGGAACTTGCTACCAGTTCACTGGCTGCAAGTTCTCTTGCTACCAGTTCACTGGCTGCAAGTTCTCTTGCTACCAGTTCACTGGCTGCAAGTTCTCTTGCTACCAGTTCAAGTTCTCTTGCTACCAGTTCACTGGCTGCAAGTTCTCTTGCTACCAGTTCACTGGCTGCAAGTTCTCTTGCTACCAGTTCACTGGCTGCAAGTTCTCTTGCTACCAGTTCACTGGCTGCAAGTTCTCTTGCTACCAGTTCGCTGGCCGCAAGGTTCATGTGTCTCCAGTTCACCAAGCCACATCCAGAAAATTGTCATTCTTGGATTCAACATGATTCAACATTCATGCCTGCCTTCAACTGTTTTCCTGCCTTCAACACGCATGCCAAGGCTGCTGCGACTGGCCGGATATGCATGGCGTTGCCACCAAGCGATGAGAGAACCTGATTGGGGGGAGAAAAAAATGTGTTGAACGAACGCTGTTTGGAATAGTTTCGATCACACAGGATAGAATGTCAAACATGCCAGGTTGACCGTGTCACTCACGCAAGTCACGTTTAGAACATGAATGGGAAACCCCATGAGAAGGAGTTTCTCCAAACCTCCAAGCAAGGGTTCCGTTGACACAAATCATATACACACTCTGTGACTACTTAGGTGTCCATGCCTAGGAGACATCTTTGCTTCTCACGGATCCAGTACTTCCCATTGGGCCTAAATCAAGAAGAGTTTGAAACTTTGATCCATAGTAAATGCCATGTACAGTACCCAAGGGCTGGACGTGATGCACATAAAAGGTGCCCCATCACCAATCACCGGCATGCGGTGGAGGCTTTGGGACAGGTCACATGCCGTCCAAGTTGGCTTGATTGAGGAAAGGATTGCCAGGGCCTACCAAGAGTCACACACACAATTTGTAAATAAAGCGCAAAATCCTCAAAAGCCAGGCCTGGCAACTTCTAGGCGTCTTTAGTCGCTTCTGCCATGCATCAACATCTTTCTTCAAGTTCTTTTTGACAACCTGCGCATCACATTGGAAAACCTGAAGATATACAAGACATGGCAAGGCCTTGTTGCGCTGCATGACTTCCCAGTGGATGTGTCTCCACTTTGGTTCTTCTGGCTTCGGCCTTGCAAAGTGTAAATGAAATTTCCTTCACAAGAATTGAAAGCTAAGGCACAAGCTTTGCCACAATGGAGTAGTCTTTTTTCTCTGCATGTCGCCTCTCCTGCAGCAATATGAATCTTATGTCCTGCTATGTGTTTTGCTCCTTGGCAACCTTGGCTAGTTAATTAGTCCTTTTTGTCAGTCAGCAGCTCGTGGTCGTCCGGAAGCAAAAAAGTTTGCCTCAAGTTCTTTACAAAAACCGAAAGCCTGCTTGCACAAAAATCTGACAGGTATCCCAATCAAAACCTTGAGTACCCCACCATGGCTCAGAGTGCTCGAACTTCTTCTCCAAATCGGTCAACGTTTGAGTAGTAATGGCTTCCAAGTCCCCAATCGCATACTCCTTCCGGACCAGGAGGAAGTAGTACCGCTCCCTGTTCAGGTTCACTCCAAATTGATGCCTGGGCAATGGCAATTACAAAATGAGTTTGACTTAGCTGAATCTCAAAAGCCTCCAGGGCTTCCGTCTATAGGAGCTGACGAGAGGGTACGTATACATATGCTAAGTGGCCGTGCATGCAAAACATTTGTAAAACTCATATGAAACATACACATTTACGTTGGTGGAACCTATGTGATGCATATGTGAAGCGTATGTGCAGCGCAAGTGAAAACATATGTGAGCCGTATGTGAAACATATGTGAAACATATGCGAAACACATGTGACACATTAACGTATTTTGGGACTGGATTGCGTTGTGTTTATGTTTTAATTATGTATACGTTTGTGAATTTATGTGTTTTGTTTTTTATGTCGGAGGAAAAATATAACCTTATTTTCTGCAAACCAAGCGAAATAAGGCCCTATTTTGGAACGCGCGTAAAGAAAACATAAACAGAAACAAAAACAAAACGCTCACGAGAACGCAAACACATTTTGTAACGGTTGTGTTTGTACATGTGTATGGTTTATGATTTTTTATGTCGGGAGAAAAATAAGACCTTGTTTTTGGGCAAATAAGACCTTATTTTATCCCTTACGTAAAAAAAACGCAAACAGAAACATAAAGAAAACAGCTAGTAGCCGCAATTCTGGATATGTCTGGAATTGCGTTTTGTTTGCGCATTTGAAGCCGTTTATGTATGCATATGCGCAGGCCAGTCCAAGACGGGCTCTATTGTGGAAGCCTTTGAAACCCTGCTAAAGTTTGACTAAAAATGTGTCAGCTAAGCTACGGGGACAAGACGATGATGTAAATATCATACTCCGGCAACTCTTTGACCAGGTGGTCTTTGACTTCGACCATTACCAAAGCGATGCCCATGACGTTTTCCATAACAGCTGCCTAAGAACAGATTGAATCAGGGGAAGGTCTGGTGTGGAAACAAATTGAAACTTCAAGTTGTAGTCAAGATGCCCGTGGCCGAAGGGATTTGATGTTGCTAACACAACCATAGAAGGGCCGGGCTTCGGGGTCTTGAAGCCACAATGAAAAAGTCCTCATGCGGCTGAATGCCTTGCAGGGGAAGCCCGCTGCATAGATATCCACCTGGCGGCTTTGATTAAGAAATTTCAACTCAAAATGATTCTTTTGGTTTTGCCGTGCCTTGTCCACAAATTTTTCAACTTCCCAGGAAAGCACATCATGATACAACCTCATTCAATTTGGTTGCATCTAGAAAATAACAAACGGAAACCCCAGCCAAACTACTGAGACTCTAGCTCTGCATCGGGAAAGTTCGCTTTGATGTACTCTTGCGGACCTTTTGCTTTGTCACATGCAGACCTGAACTGGGTCACTGATAAAACTTGCACTGGAACATCAATAAAAAATAAGTGCTGGGCAAATGCTTGATTGAGTCTTTCCCAAACATCAGGTACAACGCAGTGATAGGAGCTTCGGCCCCAGAACCTCAAAGGAATTTACTTGCAAGAAAGAACAAATTCATAAAAAACTTTTACCACTAAGTTCATGACAGTCAGTCAAGACATGAAGCTTGCGGCCCAAAGGCTTCAGATGGGCTTTCAGACCTAGTGCAGACATGTTTCATTGGTTCAACATCCACAATGTTGAGGTTCCCACCTGTGGCATCCACAAACTGGCTCCCAAACTCCAAGCTTCGCTTCTGATGGTCTGTTAAACAGACACCGCCTGGAAGAAACCACCTGCACAGATACAATACATCAAGAAAGTACAGTGTAAAAAACCTATCAAAGTGCCTTTCTGTTTCAGCTGAGCACTCGGATGCGGAGTCAATCTCCAGATCGCCATTTGAGTCATAGCGCCATACGGGCATGCCTCAGTATCCAATTAGGGTTATGAACAAAACATATTGAAGTCATTGAAGTGGCTGAGTCCTGTGCTGCAAGCAAGGAAGGGCACTCAAGGCTCCAAGTTTGAGCCAAAGCTTTTGGATTTATGTGCCAAAAATTGCGCCAAAAGTTTACTGCTATAAAGAAAGCACAGATGTGGACACCCAGTTGCTATTTGGAAGACACCCAGTCCCAAGGAGACAAGCCTATATATATATATAATTATATATATTTACAATTATATCTATATATATAATTGTAAATACACATGTATTCAGGTGGTGTGGTATTATTAGTTGGCCTGGGGTTACAGCTTTGCAAACCAAACCCATTGCATGCCAACCAACCATAAGCCAAACGTCGTTGCTTGGCCGGCGCCCGGCTGTCAGGCGTAAGCCTTTAAATCCGGGTGCCGGCCACGAGGCCAGCCCGTGTCCTTGCCGGAGGCTTTCGGTGGTAACGGAAGGTGATAGGCGCTGCCGGCCCTGCCGCCGAACCATCCCCGGTTCACCCTATCGCACTCCCGAACCACTGAGGCCTACGTTATTTTCGGTGTTTTGTGCTTGCGGTGTTAAAAAAACATTGGTTTTTACGTGGTTTTGGGCTCCAGGAGACCCGCGCCGGAAAAATGGGGATCTTAAGATCGTTTCAAAATAGATGGCCCAAAGAGGGCCCCAACATAGGTCCCAAGATGGCTCAGCATGGGACAACATAGGCCCAACATAAGCCAACAGGCGGCCAACATGGATGGGCCCAACATAGGCCCGACATGGGCCCAAGATGGGCCCAACATAGCCCAACATAGGCCCAACCTGGGCCAATATAGGCCCAAGATGGGCCCAGCCCAGCATGGCTCAACATGGGCCCGAATTGGCCCAACATAAGATGCGCCCAAGATGGCTCAACAGCACAACCTGCGCTAAACATAGGCCCAGACTGCTTCCATACAGGCAAGCACTGCGCATTAATTATGCTTGCCTCAGTTCAACATAGCCCTCCCTGGGTTTGCGCGGAGAATCTCGGCCCATTCTTCCCACACCATACACCAAAAGTCGGGCGCCCGCCTGTCAGGCGTAAGCCTTTAAATCCGGGCGCCGGCCACGAGGCCAGCCCGTGTCCTTGTCGGAGGCCTTCGGTGGTATACCCAAAGGTTATAGGGGCTGCCGGCCCTGACGCCGACCCACCGCCGACGCACCCCTGGACTACTCCAGGCCAACTGAAGTCCCTATAATTTACAGTGTATTTTGCTTGCGGTGTTAATAATTTAGTTTTCTTACGGTGTTTTGGGCCCCTCGGCGGCAAGGAATTTCATCTTGGCGATGTTGAAAAACATCGGTTTTTACGTGGTTTTGAACTCCAGGGGGGCCGGGACGGGAAAAATGGCATCTTACGATCGTTTCAACATAGATGGCCCAAACATGGCCCCAACATCGCTCCCAAGATAGCTCGACATGAGCCAACATAGGCCCAACCTGCGCCAATGTAGGCCCAAGATGGGCCCAACATGGCTCAACATGGGCCCGAATTGGCCCAACATAAGCCCAAGATGGGCCCAAGATGGCTCAACATGGGCCCGACTTGGCCCCATAGGCCCAGACTGCTTCCATGCAGGCAAGCATTGCGCATGATGCCTGCCTCAGTTCAACATAGCCCTCCCTGGGTTTGCGGGGAGAATCTCGGCCGCTGGTATTTACATAGTTTTTGGAATGTCAAGAAAACGTGGAAGGCATGTAAATAGCGGTGTTTTGGCAACTTTTGGACGCTGAAACGCTGTATTTATGCAGTTTTTTGCCCGTGACGGCACCACACCCTGTAAATTATAGCAGTTTTGGCACTATTTGAACCGATTTTTTCGCCTTGATGAATGCAAACAAACGCTGTGGTATTTACGCGTTTTTCAAAAAAATCGAAGATCGTGACGTGAGCGACACCCCGTAAAAAAAACAGTGCTTTATCCACTTTCGGGGACTAATACTATGGTATTTACACGGGTTCTTGCCATCTGACAGCGCAACATGCTGTAAATTACAGCACTTCAATTTTTAAACGAGCGATGCCTTCACATGTTCTTGGCATTCTTCAACAAGAAACGACGTTACAGATTGAAACTAGACAGCAGTGTGGCCCGAAAGAAAGCTGGAGGGAGGAGACGAGAAGATAGCACACAAGAAAATAACATAGACCCGGGCAAGCCGGCGGCGGAAGTTTCCCAAACATAAATGACCTATAGTTCAAAGACACCCTGTCCCGACCGTGTCCTTCCCTCGACACTCCACACCTCACACTGCACACTGCACTCTTCGCACTCCAAACTTCAAACTTCACACTCCACAATTCACACTTCACACTCCACACTTCACACTTCTCACTGCTTCCTTCACACTCCAAACCTCACACTTCACACTTCACACTTCACACTTCACACTGC